AGATGAAAATCTGCAAAATTAGAACAGCGAAGTTCAATTGTACGCGCGAGCGCATTCTGAGCCACGATTGGCTAATTAAAATCACCTGAAGTTACGCGCGCGGACAAAAAACTCATACTAAGGCGAGAGGGGTGATTTCAGAGTTCGTAAAGTTCATAACAGAAATCAAGTTCTCAGAATATTTAATCTGTCCGTTTCCAAGGTAGTAATTCTCGTTACTTAAGCTAAAGCATTTCTTTTGATTGCAGTTAATTGAAGATAACGTTAGGAACGCAAACAGATTGTTTGATTCACAGGTAGAACGCAATTTCAAAGATACATAGTAGTTATTTGTTTCGAGCTGGCCAAGTACTTGTTCTTTGACGTCTTCACCTCACCCATTATGATCTTATATTACCCAGAATCCCGGCGAACGATCTTTGGACTCGTCACGCAATCTGTCAGATAAAAAACGTCACGAGAGAACATCTACGACCTTTGTTCGTGAAACTGCTTTAGAATGGAACGAAAAGGCCTTACTGAGAATATATCTGATAACAATAAACAATAATAGTTACCCTTATTCTATATTCTATCTTTTGTTGAAAACAGAAACTGTTGATAAGATTTACTTTCTCTCTAGAATAACGGCAAGGCTGGATACAATGTTGGCGATGCTGAGCATACTAACCCTGGAGATAATATTAAAGAGTACAGACAGTTACCAATAGTAGTATCAATTAAATACATTTTTACTAGTCATGCAACACACAAAAAATGGCAATGTAACTGGACTATTTCCAGAACTGTTCAAGGCCAACCACTTTTTCATTTCACTGTCTGCAAGAACTGACTTTTCGACTGGACCTCTTCAATTCGTAGGTTTTCTTGCTTTGAATTGTTGATAAATATATGCTTGAGAACTCTTCAGTTATCCACAGCGAAGGACTTTTCGTTTTCTTTCCTCGGTTTTAAAAGTATTCTCTTTCAAGTTTGATTATTTTGCATAATAAACAGTGGATATATATTTTATCCACAAACTTAAAAATTAGAACCATCTCAGTTGTGTAAGAAATACTTTATATCGTCCTCAATCCCTGTCTTTGAATGGTCACATACTAGTGTTTATACAAGTTCACAGATAGGAATTATTTTGTTTGTTTGTTTGTTTGTTTGTTTTTTGCCACCATTCGTTATAATAATAATAATAATAATAATAATAATAATAATAA